GAGCTAGTTAGCCTCTAAGTGACATCACTGATGAATAGTTATACGTTTTATCACAGTTCTGGAGTGGAATGGGCGGAAGTCTTACTTTTCACTGTTTTTTGATCGGGATAAATTAATACGGTTCTCAGTACTATCTGGTAGAACGCTGATAAAGAATATAATCAATCTTATCGATAAAAGATAGGAAAGAGAGGAAAATCAATCTCGCTAGCACTGACTGCTCCTTCGATGGTTTTTGGCAGAGCGAAAAACTACGGGCTGCAAGCGTCTGTTCAAGGGCACTTTACAGAGCGAAGATACGAGATCGAAAAGTTGGAAGTTGGAATCTGAGAAGGGCTCGTATAGGGGCGTATCGGCTTCCCATCAAGAAAGTATCTAGTACAATCCCCTTAATAGAGGTGGAGGGACTTGGTGTAGTGGCAAGTGAGCCGTTACCATCCACGCATGGTCCTAAGAACAAAGCGTCGATCGATTCTCAACTATGCTAATCGAGCCTTTCCTTCTCCTGAAGTCGTTTAATTGGTTGCGGACTCGTCTGGGAGGATAAAATCACTTTCTTGAACATCAGATGGTCCTTGCAAGCCATTGTGTAGGCACCATACCCATTTAATGTCACTATGATTCTGAATGGAAGTAGATTGCAGGGCGCATCCCGGAAGCGGGATTGATTAGCGCCAAGCACTTCATGGTTTATCCTCTTAGGGTTGCATGAAGTAATATAAGAGGGAATAGTTCGCGCGTACGGTATTTTGCAAGCATCAAAGTCAGCACTTCATGCAAGCCTTGCCTGTTGTGAGAACTATTTTTCGCCTGACTGTGTGATCGATAATAAGTAAGTCCAAATACCAAGTTATACAGTGAGTAATGTACTGCGGTGGTATGTTTTGCCGTCTGATTTGAGATATTGTGGAGGTGAACGTTTAATAAGCATTTTACTTTGAATGGCCACAATAAGTTACAATCATCCTGGAGAATCAGATTCTCATAGTGTGAGTTTGTATACGAGCGTGAGCAGCATCAGTTATCGGTCCCTGCTGAGGTCTGTTGTTGATCGGCGGTAACTGGTATTCTTGAACTGTTCGAGCGGTTGCGTAAGCTAGCGCATATCTGAAACAATGGTCATTTTAGGAATATCCAAAAAATGGGATCCCTCTGTTATAAGATCTTTTCTAAAAATTTGACAGCCGTCCCACACCCGTAATTTAAGAACCAGCTTACAGTAATCAGTCTGTAGGTCCCAAATGGTACGTCTGGTTGTGACACAGCCAACCAGGAGCAATATAAGCCCAGGGACCCCGAGATAGCGGAGGCGACAATTCTCTGGTCAACTCGAAAGTTACTTACGCCGTTGCAGCCGAAGTAGTCGGATTAGGCGTCTCAGCTTCTTCTATTAGAATGTAGTACGTAGTATGCCTGAGCATTTGCCTGATCGGGTGTTATTGTCACACCAGACACAAGTAAATGAAAATCAGGATTTATTTTAGAGTGATTTACAATCACTTAGTGAATGTAGAACGGATCAAATCCGGATTTTATAAGTCCGACTTAAACCGTGCATAGCTTCCGTCACAGGTCCTGCCTGAGGCATACCATTGATGGACGGTAGTTGTGGCATCATATCGCTATGAGCGGTGGCAAAGGCGAGCATGTACCTGTGAGTACTGCTTATTTATTTGTTCACTGTACAAATACAGCTTCAGTTTCCTCATCCTGACCGTAAACAATCTTTGCTGTTTGCCAAAGCAAGCTTTTAATTTAACTGTTTGTTCGGTTCACGAAGATCGAGGAGTACAGGGATCGTCCGCGAGCGGTTGCGATGCGGACATTTTGGGACGAGCAATGTGATCGATTTTTTTATTTCATAACTGGTCTGTCTACTGCTTGGTCAAAGCGCGAACTCGCCGCACGCGGTGAGATGCAGAGCTGCGCGGCAGTTGGAATGAGCCCCTCACTCCTTTCCGACCCATCCTGACAAAAATACTTTATTCGGATTTTTTTTTCAGATTTGAGTGACGTTGTCGTCGTGACCTAACAGTTTTGTGCTGCTTCTTTCGACAACCATCTTATATAAGAGCGAGTCATTACCAGATATACTTTTGCATGAACCAGTAGGATGAGGAAACGCTTAAAAACTTATATCTGATCTATATAATCAAAATAAAAATGAAAAAAAAAATACTTAGCTCCTCGAAGCATTTTGACAACCTGAAAGAAAACCCTAGTTATGCAAGTGGACACCGCTTTTTCGGGAAATGTTGTTTTACATGGCGTTTCCTTAAGAGCCGATCAGGCTATTCGCAATGGCCGAAACTTACCGTCCTCCGAGTTCGACCTTACAGATCAAATCGCCGCTGAAGTGAACTTTTTGTGCGAAGTCGTCATAAGCTACGATCAGCTCAAATGAAGTGTTGAACTTTGTTTCGGTACGTTCCTGAAACATGCGAGTAAACCCGGATTCATCAGCCAATTTCTTATCTTTCTTTTGCTTTCTACAATAACAGCAGACTTCATCAAAATTTTTCGTTGTGCGCATGATAGCGAGCAGCGGGCACAGCGCAAGCACCTTCTGATACGGTTTGCAGAGATGCAGGGGCAACCCATGGAATCGATGTTCAAAGATCCAGATATGTACCGTAAGGTCGACGGGCAGTGGTACGCGTACTACCATGGACGGGACAACTAGCCAGTGGTGCATCCATACATCTCTGTCACTTTGCCGCGCGGTGAGCTCCTTCCTCTACACCATAGTATAAAGTCTATTAACAGAACATCTCTTGGTGAAAACGACTAGGAGGGGTGGTAGGTACATTCACGCATATCCATGCTCTTGCCCGGTTTTTTTCAACGAGACAGTATGCTACTTATCAATTCCTTGTGCAACCTAACTTTTTGCACGAAGCTGTCATTTCACCAGTCCCGGTGCTACTCTCCTTATAAGGTTTAGGCAAAAGCCCTATCCTGTTGATTCAAAATTCCTTAGCACCAGTACGGTATCCGCCCTTCTCTGCACTTCAGTCATCGGCGTTAGAGACGCAGAGCAAAGTGGAGAGTTATCCCGCTGGTTTCACAGCACTACTTCACCACTGTGCTAGATCACAGTTTCACTCGAAGTTTTTCTTTATTGGCATTTGATTCCGCTTTCTTTGAAGGTTCTTTTCGAAAACTTCCCTAATGGGATGTATCCCAGCATAGTTGGATACGTACCTGCATTACGTTGGCGACAGCTTGAATATTACATGCATGGAATTTTGGTCGAGCTTCCAATTCAGCAAATGTCTCAACCATCAGATCGTTCAGAATCTCATTACAACAGACATATCCTTAAATTCGTCTTACTGAACATTGGTATGCTTTTAAAGTGGGTAGAGAAAGTTTTTATGATTCTAAGTTGTGAATAGGCAAAATAGAAAGAGGTAAAGAAATAGGAAAGGAAGAAGTAGGCAATTTTTTTAAAACATCGAAAATTAGACCTCGATTAAGTTTATTCTCAAGGTCACTTATCGGGTTTTTTCGGAAGTCATTTATATTCTTAAAAAATTTTTTTTGGGGATAGATCTACAGGATGCGCTATGCTTGCCCATTTATTCAAAATATCCGCACTTGAATTGTAGCACCCTCGCATGAGTCAGTGCTATTCAACGCGCTGTGGAAAGCAGGATGCTTGGAATTCACTACAACACAAGGACACAGTGAAATCCGGAGTTCCGAGCTTCGTCAATGAACGATGATCAAGGATGTCATTGCTAGGAAACGAGGATTAGGTGGGCCAGACACGTTATGCGTTACCGTGATGACCGTTGGATCAGCGCGCTTACTGACTGGATCTTTCGGGACGTCCAAGCGAATTCCCGGACGGCCACCTGCGCGATGGTCAGACCTCTTCACGAAAGCTCTGAACAAAATGAAAGCTAAGCCTCGTGTCCCTCGAGCGAGACGATCCACTGGGCTGCTCTGGGCGCGCGAGAGGGACGAATGTAGGCGTTACTGGCGCCCGCTTGAGGAAATCGCTGTTCAGCCCGACGACAAGTGCTGTACTTTAACAGTAGTATCGAGCTGTTATGAAGAAACTTATTTTTATATCATGACTAGTTTATGGGCTTATTTCTTATGGCTTTATTGAGATTCAGGTCGTTTTCGTCTTGCTGAAAGCTAAGCTTTCAAATCAAGGAGCTCTCACATGAAAAGAAGGGTGCTGAGCTTCTTCATTTACTACTTGTCCCCTAATATGCGAGCCATGTTTTTGTCATTTCCATCGACCTTTTATATTTCATACGTTATCATTATAATCTTCATTAGTTTTCTCATGTAATGCTCTGTAATTTACGTAGCTCTTACCTGTCGGATTATAGAAGCATTTTCTAAGTGGAAGATATTGGCGGGGTGGGTAGTAGTAACGAGTAGGACCGTATCCAGGCACTGGTCCTCGCTGAATGAAATAGAGTTTAATAAGATATTCCTGGGATCCAAGGTCCGTCAAAAAATTCTTTAAATGGCTTACCGGTCCTATATCATCACTTGCAACGGCATGCGATTGCCTCTGAAAAAAGGAAAGTCAATTGTCAAAGGTTGTTTTTGGTAAAATGGTAGATTCAAGTAAATATCTAAAAAGTACTGCTCAAGGAGATAGGAATCCGTCCATATCAGGTGTTTATTGAACATATATAACGAGAAACGCAGTAAGCCTTTAAACGGATGTGTAGAGGATTCTGAACTACATCCCTTGACTCAAGATTGTGCTTGTATGCATGAGACGCGAGCGGCTGCGAAGCAGTTTGGAGGAATGGAAGGCGCAAAACCCGATTCTTAGTGTTGCTTCGGTTTTCAGTGTGCTCATGGGTGCCTTCTACTTCACAGGGACTTGGATTTTGACTATCGTGCCTTAAGAAGGGAGATCTTACAAATTTTTCTTTGCTCAGAGGACGATGCAGAGGACGACGTCCTGTCTCTTGGCTGTCGCGGCTGAGTTTAGAAGTAGATGAAAATGGCGTTGTCGCAGTAAATTCTTCAACTTTACATATAACTCATACCTTCACCATCGAAATATCTTGGGGTAAGCTTTGTGGATATGGGAAAGAGCGAGGCTGTCCTTGGAAGAAAATTGGTGGTGGTCTCTGAATTATACATCAATGATACTAGCAACAAAACAACTTGAAATGCTGCTTAAAATGACAGAAAATATTGGGCCCTTGTAGGGAAGCTGCTATGTGCAGTAGTGACAGTGGTGCATTTTGTTAATAGTGGCCGCGTGCGTATGTGCGGGGCGTTAGTTCACAACAATATCGTGCTTATAGCCCTAGTCAGGGCGCTAACGTTCCTCACCATAGGTGCAATGTGTTTTCGTTCTCGTTCACCTGCCATAGACGGCACGGTGGTACGAAAAGTTGGCTCATCTCTCTGCAATAGAAGTTAAAAGAGGTCATACGGATTGTCGAGGGGTACCATTACTTGAAGAAATATTTTGCCATAAAATCGTCTTTGCTTGAACTTTGAACTTGGGTGCTGAATAATACTACCCTTTTGGGTTCAAAAAAAGTTAACCGAATGTTTTAGCTCTCCTTATTAGTGCTCATTTTCATTATTGTGCGAGTTGCTTGAGGGAACTGGGTCTGGTATCCCTGTCTCTATAAGTCTCGAGATTCATCTCTGAACGGTTGTTTGGCACGCCCTTTAGTAGGCGTTTCTGACGGAAGTGGGCGTTTCAAACAAATCTTGAGCCTCTACTTGGGCCACTTTTTGACCCTACAAAGCTGATTGGAGGCCAATTTTTGGTTCCAGTGGGCTTTTCACAGAATTGGTCTCATATCTGTGTGTCGTTAAGTAGCTACTACACTTTATGAAGAAGTTGTAATGATTTCGTTTTCAGATGGGCTCTGAAAGAGCAACCTTTGTTCGACAAATCGCCATAAGGAGCTGATCATGGCAATCACTTACCACTGATATTTCTTCAACAGTATCGACACCTTGGATTTGGAATTGTTGCTCACGCACTTTTCTCGTGTGAGGTCGATGGCTCTCCTTATAGACATCACCTGAACGGTAAGTAGCTCAAAATAGCGCTTAACTGGGTAAACACCGTACATTTTGGTTTTACATTTCTCCAAGAGGTTATTAAATCAATTATTCATCTGTATATGTCATAACCAATATTAGTTATTCAATTTCAATGCCTATCCAATCTAGCTGGATCAGGTTTCATCGGTATCATTCCTAACGAATTCTCTGCCTCAACTCGTTCTGGAAGGTGATGATGGGGCACAGAGAGGGAAATTTTGATAAAGTTTTGAATCCCTCAATACTCAAGCCACAATAGTCGTTAGCCTGTGGATAGTTCTTTCTTACCATCATGAATCTTGTTATTTGTTCCATAAGACGAAGTAACTGTGAGTAGAAGTATCGCTGAAAGTAGCCGCATCTTCAGCCTGAAATCAGAACGAAAGGTAGGGTCATAAGTAGGTTGAGGATGAAAAGCAGTGTCAGCGTCAATTCAGTTATTTTCTAGAAACGGAAATCTGGTCTTGGAACTTGCTTTCATTCATATCTCAATACAGAAGTACTTCAATGATCAGGATCCGGTTCACGCAAATTTATCAAATCTTCTTTATTTGCCCATATGAAACAGTCTCGCCAAGATGAGCTTAACGTCGGCTGGTTCCCTATGTGATTGTTCGGGCTAGTCTTCCAATCATGGATCGCCACGCTTCTAAATAGAAACCAGCCCCATGGCGTATTCCAAACTAAACGATCAACACCTATTCATTTACTCTCCACATTGTTTTGCATTACTTCTCCATCAATCCTGCCCTCAGTAGGGCAGCAGTCGGAGGCTAAAGAGGCACGTGCGCCCCTCGCAGTCATATGCTTTTAAAGTAATAACCTAGTAGCTTAGGAAGCAGCCGGTCTGTTTTATGAAATAATGCAGTCGGATAGACTTTCTCCGTTTCTCGAGCACTGAAACCACCTAAGGACACTGGGTAGGCCATAGATCTTGAAAATCATCCTTTCTTTTGCCTTATCATTCATTTTTTAGAAGGATTCGGGACATAGTCGGTATTTGATGACGATTCAAGATTTTTGGAAGCGATGTCAGAAAAATCGTGAGTCAATCAGCATCAATCTGGGCGGTCGATCAAGCATGGAAAGCCTAAATTGTCTTCAAGGTACGCTTAAGACAACGTCGAAAAGAACTGTAGTACAAGACGAATGACTACTGTATAATAGGGCTAGAAAGGACCTGATAAGCCTGTTGCCGGTGATGTACTGTCACCAGCACCGAGCTAATACAATCTGGTCTAAAGATTTTAACAAGCATAGCAAGCAAAAGAATTCAGAAGAGGATGTTGAGTCATCACACCAAGCAGTCAGAACGCATAAAAGAGCCGCCGATGGATATGATCAAGCATGGCAATGATAGTGACGGGTTTATGAAGCCAGCAGTGGGTCGGTGCAGGTGACGGTGTACCTTCGGCAACAGGCTAATAATTGATAAAAATGGATACGGGGCTAACCGGCTATAGGATCTTCTCGCTTTTGCAGTCGTGTGTCAAATATCTCTTGTAAATCATCCCGTCAGACTTGCGGCCATTGGAGCGTCGGCGAATTCTTCTCTTTAAAGCCCTGTCACGAATGATGGCAACATTTTTCTATAAAAAGAAGGTTTGGACTGATGAACTTGCCACGGACTTGGTTTCACCTTTTTGGTGTTATTCTGGGATTATACGTCGATTTTCGGTCGAAAAAATAAGCTGATTGACAACCCACTTGAGTCAGATTCGCCTTTAGAAGTGCCTGGCTGTTCCAGAATGGTTCCGCCTGGCGGTTAGCGGGTTAAAAACTGAAAGTAATTTGAATGGAGAGCCAACTATTAAGTTGAGTAAAAAGTTTTGATCGGCTTTTCAATCTTCATTTTGAAAAGTCTTATTTCCATTGAAAGAGGATCTCAATTAGTAATATAGTCTCCATCGTTGTCCTAAACATACGTCTAACGAACCGG